GTGCCAAATGTCAACCTATTTCCAAGCCGCCGTTCCAGTCAAACAGATGATGGCCGTCCGAAGGGTTATGGACAAAAACAACAAAACGGCCAGCTTGGACTTGGAAGAAGCTTTGGCTTTGGTTTAGGAGCTATACCAGGTGAGATTCACTTCCATTTCATTTGCACACACCTGCATATTCTCTTCATTATTGGATACAAGATTCATTTGATTAGACGCTTACTGATAAGCAGGGAGAATTTCAGGGTTCGAAGTTCTGAGCAGTCAAGGGACAGACATCGGAAACGGAAACCTACCATTCCTCAACCAGGTACAATTTTAATGATAATCTTAATCATAGGGTAAACTGATATTACTGGGCAGGGTCAAAACGCGCCATACAGGCCACCCAGCAACCAGGTTATCGCGAGGAATTCATGCCGCTGATAGCGCAGCGACCGCAGCTATTCTTGTTGTAACCTTCATATTGGACTTCCAAAGGATTATCACACGCCTTAACCGACTGGCAGAGGTCACCACACCTGGGATGAGCTTCGGTACAAACTATGTTGCTTCTATGCCCAGGCCCATACAGCGAAATTCCAATCTTACGGTTGGTTATTATAGGGGAGCCACCAGTGAGATATTTCTCTTTGACTTTTTCTTTATTCGCTTTCTTGTTCAGACAACTTTCAAAATTTATCTGAGGGACGCTCACAATTGTTTTGCAACTCGGTAGGAGGATCTTAACGAGCCTTGATTTCGAGTAGATAACCAGATGGATCAAGTAGTTCTGCGGCGAACAATCATACACTTCTTATTCGGCCACGACGTCAAATTGCACGGCAACCGAACAATTTCAATTCCCAACAATAAGAAATAGTGCCAATCAATGAGCTTGTCACAATCACTGGATAAAGGTATTCTCGCAACAATATTCAGATCGGTGGCATTATGCTGAATCAAGGAACTGAAATAGGCGCAATGGGACAGAAGACTGGCAGAGGACCAGCACGATCACTTAATGCTCTCACCCATGGGTAAGAAGAATCCTTCTTTTTATGCTTCCTCAGTTTTCTCATTCAGTTGAGAGATCCCTTGTACAATGTTTTTGGAGTATCCAATGTAGTTCTCTGTCACGATTTTGTTCACGCTCAAGGTTCTTCAAAAGTTTCCCTATTTATGTTAATCGTGACTCAAAGATCAGTGATTCGAGGTGATGCATTCAGTAAGACAGAAAACTTCTGAATGTGCTCAGGCAAACCTAAATTTCGACTGATTTGTGCCCATGGAAGCTTTGACTTTAACATTTCCTAGGACATGCTAGCCACTTAGCAAGAGAGACAGACCTGACTGTTTTTCTCCATTGAAATAGGCTAATATGAATTGTAATCCGAAAAGATGGTTGAATATTACCCAACCAATTCTTTACCATCCCAGACAGTCAAATATGTATGTAACAAGTGTGAAAATCGTGCATTCAAATCATAAATCTTTCAGATATCCTTCATTCGGTCTTACCGGAGAGCCAAACAATGGTGACAAGAAACTCAGCCAAGAGGTGCTGAACTCGTTCGGCATTCCCAATATACCCGCTCTCAATAAAGGTACCTCATTTGACTGTTGTTCGAACAAAAAGCAACTGATTGATTCTCACACCGCCTCTAATCATTTTAGTTCTCGGAAAACTTGGTGGAAATCGGCCAAAGAACAGAATACAGGGTTACGAACCGGGCTACGGTGCAGTCAATCCGAATGCTCCGCTTGCCATCGGAAAAGTGAGTTTTCAATTTCTCGGAATTCTTTTCACAAGTAGTCATAAAAAACAAGGTTGAACATTTCAAAAGTTTCTTTCGAAATGCCTATGAACATATCCCTCTGTGGTGATTCACTCAAAAAAAAAAAAGAAGAAATTATACACTTATGTCTAGCAGTGTCTAAAAAGGCAGCAACGAGATTGATTCGAACATCTGTGAGGAAAGGGAAAAATGAAGTGAAAGAGCGGTAATAGGAACCAATATTTTATAATATATTCGCTCGAAGCTAGAATGACTAGACATCGGACAAATTCTTAAGAACGTCGAAAAGCCGCAAGAGACCTCGCTCTCTTTGGAAACAAAGTGCCTCTGCTCCCATGAGACCCGCTATCTTGCTGTTCATTGTTCGAAATCATGACGGGTATGGCGACCTATCATTTTGAGGATCACTTCAAATCTGTGTGGTAGCCCCGAGATTCAACCCTAAGAAGTAATGAAGTGGTTTTACTCACTGGAATTCTAATTATCTGATAACACTCAAACCAGGAGAAAAGCTACACAATCGGATTTGGACAGAACAAAAATACGATAATTTTCAACGAGGTCTACCTAGGGACACTTAGGTAAGTGTTCAGTAGAGGGCGATATCGGTGGAAAGCGGCTCGCCGCTTTGCAACCAGTCTGACAATAGGGCACGATCACAAATGGTCAAGGATAGGAATTAATAGCACTGTCGAATATGCGAAAACTCTTGGATAATTATACTACCACAGTTTATCATTTAGTACTAAAAATTGTCATTAAAACCATATGATGATGGATTTTATGTTATAATTAAACTTGAGTAAGCGGAGGTGGTGTAGTGGCAAGTGGCGTACTATATCACACGCACGGTCAGGGGTTCGAATCCTGGATCGATGCCCGCCTAAGCCAACCAACCCTTCCATCCCTCCGGGGACGGTTAATTGGTACCAGACTCGTCTGGGAGGGTAAAAACACTGACTTGTACATCGGCTGGCCACCGCAAGTCATCGTGTAGGCCACGAACGCACTCATTACGCCACAGCGATTCTGAATGAATGTTGAGTGCGGGGGTGCATCCCTCAGACGGGATTGATTAACGCCAAAAACTTTATCCTTTATCCTTTAATTCGACTCGAATAAGAGAAACTTTCATCGTAAAGAGGAACACAACACAACACACCGTAGTCGTAACCGTAATTCTACCGTAATTATGCTATTGTTTCTTGCGATTACTTGTCCTTAAATGTCCTGTACACGTATTGCATACCCTCTAAGGCAATATCAAGGATACGGTAGGGATGCGGGTTTAACTCGTACTTTTTTGTTATGTTTTCGCCAAGTAGGTAGCCCAACGGCTCGCCGATTTTTCAAGCCGTTTTGGTGTAGGGTGATGCTCTTGAGACAAGGACTACCTTTCATTGCTACCCTTTCACGGGCCTTTCACTGTCGCCACCTACCTTTCCCACACCAGCCATCTTTTATGGAACATCCCATCTCCTTATGGGATGTTGCATAGAAGATTGCTTTTGACAACGATATGTCACATAAAAACGGAGATATGTCGCTCACCAGTACGCAGTTTGTGTAAATACCTCAACATGGGCCTGTATGCCCATGAATACAGTTGCAGACACAAATGACTGACAAATATACAGGTACTAAGCTCAACATATATTAACGGCATCAAATGCAAAATTACTAAACCAGATTCGAAATTTTTCCGATTTTTATTTATTTACTCATTTTTTCAGACCGATCGTGATGCCATCAATCTTCCTGCAGGCTTTGGCGATATCGAAACACTCAAAGGAGGTGGATTCGGTTTCGGGAAATAGAAACCGACTAAACCCTCTCGTTTTCACTTTCCTCATAGCATTTTCTCTCTCCTTTCTTTCTATTTATAAAATATTGCAATAGAATACTTGCAATAACACCTGAAATATTAGCTTTAATTTACTTCATTAGAACTATATATTGAGTTGATGGAAAAGTTCTCGGAATGGATCTGAGCCCTTTTTCTCACAAAAGAACATCCCTATTCAAGAATTTGGGGGACTATTTAGGACAGTCCCTTCTAGATCATGCAGCAAAATACTGTCGATTTCATATGAAAACTCTCAAAGATGATCGCCCATCGACGAACTCTCCCATACTGTATCATAGTTCCCGCATGGTCATCAATTTAGTTTTCCAGTGCTTTTAAGAAAGCGTCTACAAAAAGAAGTTTTTACTGACATCAACTACTATTCGATCTTCTCCATATCTTCCCATGACATGGTGCCCCCAAAACTTCTCCCTTACCAGCGCTACATACTCCTCCCATACTTCTCATATGTCGCTTCAGAAGCCCAGAAAAAGCATTCAAGACTCCCTTGATGGACTCATATGCATGTCACTTGAGCGTTTTGTATAACAAGGGAATAGGAGGAGACTTCCAAACACTTCTAAACAGCCCCACTATACTCTAGCACGAAGACTCATGCTATCCCTTCTTTTCCGAAGTTTCGATATCTTTTCTGATGATTTTCTTGGGGAGAAGATGCTTGATGGTGTATTGCATAGTGTTTTCATAATCTGAAGGCGGAAATGGAAAAAAATCAGTCGTAGTTTTTTATAGTTGTATAATTATAATGAGGGCGGAGGTGGTGTAGTGGCAAGTGGCGCACTATATCACACGCACGGTCAGGGGTTCGAATCC